CGGGGCGCGGCCTGGGGCGGAGAAAGCGTGCACCGATGCGCACGCGCCCTCAGTGGACCTCGCTGTGCTCGCGCACGTGATGGCAACTTCTCCAAGCCTCAGGCTTCTGATCTGCAAAATGGGCCCAATCATAGCACCTGCTCCCAGGGTAGTTCCGAGGAGAGTAAAGGTGTAATGACCACGAGGCCTGGGCCCACGGCCTGGCACGTGCAAGGTGCTCACTTCTCATGGTAATGCCAGGAAGATGCTGTGAGCTGACTGAGGCTGCCAGAGTCGTTCCTACCCCCTTTGATGTGTCACTCTCTCAACATGCCTGACCACATTCTGAGCCGTTACCCTAACCTCACCTTGGTCTGGGCTGGCGCCTGAGGGGGGAGGGTGCTGCAGCCGGAGGACTCCCTGTGACCTGATGTCCACGTGTGTGTGTCCCCAGGCTACAGCGGCGAGCTGTGTGAGGTGGACGAGGACGAGTGTGCGGCAGGCCCCTGCCAGCACGGGGGCCCCTGCCTGCAGCGCTCCGACCCGGCCCTCTACGGGGGCGCCCAGGCTGCCCTCCCTGGTGCCTTCAGCTTCCGCCATGCTGCCGGCTTCCTGTGCCGCTGCCCTCCCGGCTTTGAGGGTGAGCTCCCTACCCCTTTCCAGGGCAGAAGGTCCGCCGGTGCTCAGATGCACCCGGAGGGATGGGGGTGGGTTCATGCTCCTCTCTTTGGGCCTCAGCCTCTCTAGCTATAACGTGGGCCCTTCCAGGTCCAGACTGGCTCTGAGGGCACAGGTGGGAACACGGCTGGGCCTCTTGCAGGGGACGACTGCAGCGTGGACGTGGACGAGTGTGCCTCCCGGCCATGCCTCGGTGGAGGCAGCTGCCAAGACCTGCCCAACGGCTTTCGGTGTCACTGTCCAAGTGGCTACACAGGTGCTTGGGGGTGGGGTGGGCACTGGGGCAGGGCAAGATCAGAGCTGGTGGGTCTGGGGTGGGAAGGGTCCCCTGGCTGATGTGTGGAGGCTGGGTTGATGGGGAGAGGGAATTAGAGAGGAGGTGGGTATAGTGGCCTAGGTGTCATTCAAGTTGGGGCCGAGCTGGGACCTGGGCTTTGGAGGTGGGAATGCAGGGAATAAACAGGCTGAGAAACGTTTAGGAGGGCACCGGCAGGTCCTGAGGGTTATCCAGGTGCGAGTGGAAGGTGTCAGGGATGCGGCTACATGTAACCCTGGGTGGAGGACGGTGAGTGCAGCTTTGTCCACACTGAGTCTGTCGGAGGGGCACCCCCAGGAGGAGCCTGGGTGGGGGCTGTTGGACAGGGATCTGGGGCCCAGGGCTGAGGCCTGGGCTGGAGTCAGACACTGAGGGTCAGAAGTGTCACCCTGACAGCCGGGGCCACGAGTGGCCGAGGTTGTGGGGGAGAGTGGGCGATGGGCAGAGAACCCCAGGCACCTGACATCAGAGGGCTGGGCAGAGGCCCTTGGGCCAGGACAGGGGAGGGAGAAGGGGGTGGTTACGGGGAGCTGGAGCCAGTGTCTGGAGAAGGATGAGCTTGACCTTGGGGGAGCTGGGGCCTGTTGGGCAGGGGTTGGGGGTACAGTAGCCTCTCCCTGCCTCGGTGCAGCAGATGCACAGACACACAGACACCCTCCCACACGGACACTGGTGAACCCAAAGAACTCCTCACTCACCGCATGTCCCTGCCCCTCTGGAATGCCTGTGGCACTTCCCCCGCACGGCCCACATTCCTGCCTAGGCTCACTGCCTCCTCTCCCTGGCAGGGCTCCTCCGCACAGGCTCCCCCGCCCAGGGGAAGGAGGTGGTGATCACACCGTCGCCTCTACCCTTCATCCACTCAAAGGCCCTGGGGCTCAGTGCCTCCACCCTTGGGTGGCCAACTCCCCTGGGCGCCCCACCCTGTGGGCTGCAGTCCCCGAGTCCTGCCTCCTGGGTGCCTGGCACACAGTGGGTCCACCAAGGCAGCTTTGACGAGCATTCTCTGTGTATTTGTTACCCCTGACCACCGCCCCATGAAGTGGGGGTTTAAGTCCCCACCTTCTAGAGGAGGCCTTGGAGCCTTCAGAGAGGGAGTGTCACCCCCTCAGGTTCCCCACCGTCAGCAGAAGCTGAGCTCAGCTGATGGGGGCCGGCGAGGTCAGATCTCTAAGGTCAGAGACCAGGAGGGGGAATCCCGGCTGTGGGGCTGGGCTCCTGGCCACCGTCCACCCCGTCCTCCCTCTGGTTCATGCTGGCGTGGGGGAGGCCAGTGCCTGGCATTCCGGAGCGGGGTCTGAAGGAGGCAGCCAGACCAGGCGGGAGCGCTGCTCCCCAGCTTCGGCGGCTGCCCAGCACTCTCACACATCCGGGGAAATGCGATGGGGCTGTGGGCCCTGAGGACCTTCCTGGGCGGCCTGTGGCTCCTGGCAGGTATGGAGAAGGGTGGCTCTGGGCAGGGGAGGTGGAGCTAGCTGTCCTCAGAAGGAGACTGTGCTGCTTCTGTGCTGACCGGGCCAGGATTCAAAGCCTGGTGGCTTCTTTGGGCCTGTGTCCCTCCAGCTGGGATATTGGGGCAGGGCTAGCCTTGGTGGTTTTGTGGAGTCTCGGGCTGCACTAGGGTTGGGCTGTGGCCTCTTGACCTACGCTGGGGCCAGAGCACCTGCATGGGAGCTCTGGGAAGGAGGGTGAGGTGGTCCCTTCACAGCTTGTGTGGGCCCCTCGGGAGGTTAGAGCCTGGGGGCTACCAGGAGTGCCACAGATGCATGCCCACCTCAGGAAAAGCTCAGAGGAACAGGCAGTTCAAGGTGTGTAGGGAGCAGGGTTGAGCCTTGAGTGCCCAGTCGTGCCCAGCCCAAGAGGAAGCTTGAAGGCCAGGGTGAGTGATTGGACCTTCGGCAGCAGAGGAACCTGGAGGGTGATCTTTAGAACCAGACCCCTGGCTGCTTGTGGAGATGGATGGCGGAGGGGTTTTGCAGTCAAGCAGGTGAGGCAGGAGGGGTGGGTGGCAGATTGGAGAGTATTTAGGGGATTGAATCTGCAGGGTGTGGAGAGAAAGGGGTATCCCGGGTTCCAGCCTCCGGGGACCTCAGGGGGCCACGAAAAACCCTTTGGAAATTGGGAATCAGTTTGGTTGATAGGTACTGAGGTCCCGGTCCCACCAAGCTGGGAAGCGCTGGGTCCAGACTGTGGTTCTGGCCTTGGGTGCTGAGCCTTGGCCTGGTCTCTCCCGAAGGCCTGACGTGTCAGGAGGAAGTGGACGAATGCCGGTCGGAGCCTTGCCTCCACGGGGGGACCTGTGATGACATCACGGCAGGCTACACCTGCCGGTGCCTGGAGGACTGGGGTGGGCATGACTGTTCTGTGCAGCTCACTGGCTGCCAGGGCCACACTTGCCCACTGGCTGCGACCTGCATCCCTACCTTTGAGTCTGGAGTCCACGGTTATGTCTGCCGCTGCCCACCTGGTACCCACGGACCTGCTTGTGGCCAGAATACCACCTTCTCCATGGTAGCTGGGAACCCTGTGCGGGTATCAGTACCAGCCGGTGGGCCCCTGGGTCTGGCACTGAGGTTTCGCACCACCCTACCTGCTGGTGCCTTGGCCACTCGCACTGATACCCAGTACAGCTTGGAGCTGGAGCTGGCACTGGCGGCAGCCACACTTCAGGCCACACTCTGGAGCCACGGCAATGCCGTTCTAGTCCTGAGGCTGCCAGACCTGGCCCTAAATGATGGCCACTGGCACCGAGTGGAGGTGACACTCCGCCTCGAGGTCCTGGAGCTGCGGCTCTGGCATGAGGGCTGTCCTGCCCAGCTCTGCGTGGCCTCCAGCTCTGTGCCCCAGGCTCCTGCAGCCTCCCCGGCCACGCCGCCTGCCGGGTTCCGCTCTGTCCAGCTGGGTGGCGCAGACTTTGCAGGCTGCCTACAGGACGTCCATGTGGATGGGCACCTCTTGCTGCCTGAAGATCTTGGGGAGAACGTCCTCCTAGGCTGCAAGCGCCATGAGCAGTGTCAGCCTCTGTCCTGTGCCCACGGAGGGGCCTGCGTGGACCTGTGGACTCACTTCCATTGCGACTGCCCCCGGCCCTACAGTGGACCCACATGTGCTGATGGTGAGGAGCGAGCCAGGAGGGCCCCAGGGCAGAGGCCGGGCCTTCCCCCAGCCCACACGCCTCATGCCTGGCCCCTCTCCCCCCTGCAGAGGTTCCTGCAGCCACATTTGGCTTGGGAGGCGCCCTGAGTTCTGCATCCTTCCCGGTCCCTCAGCTGCCAGGCCCCAACCTCACGGTGTCCTTCCTCCTCCGCACTCGGGAACCTGCTGGCCTGCTGCTCCAACTTGCCGACGATTCGGCAGCTGTCCTGACAGTGTTCCTGAGCAAGGGCCAGATCCGGGCCGATGTGCCGGGCGGTCCTGCTCTGGTGCTGCCCGGACCCTGGGACGATGGGCTTCGCCGCCTGGTGACACTCAGCTTCGGGTCTGAGCAGCTGCAGGGCTCGGGGCTGCAGGTGCACGTGGGTGGGAGACGCCTCCCTGCGGACGCCCAGCCTTGGGGTGGGCCCTTCCGCGGCTGCCTCCAGGACCTGCGACTCAATGGCCTCCACCTCCCCTTCTTTCCGCTGCCGCTGGGGAACGCAAGCCAGCCCCGCGAGCTGGGCAGCAGGCAGGCCTGGAACCTCACCGCGGGCTGCGTCTCTGAGGACATGTGCAGGGTGAGTGCTCTGGCAAAGGGGTGGGGCCCTTCTTTGCTCTGCACCTCTGGGTCAGCACGTCTTTCTCCTGGTGAGGAAGGCACTCTGCCCAAGGTGCCACGGTTAGAGAAGGGCAGTGAAGGGCTCTCATTCAGCTCCTCCTGGCCCAGCGGCTCTGGCCCTCTGGTCCTTTTCTGAGACCGACACCCTGACCCAGGCCAGGGCTCTCTCAGCCTCTGGGCAGGAACTGTGTGGGGACACAGGGACCCACTTGGCTCAGGAACAAAGACCAGCCCTGGAATCAGAATAGCCTGGGTGTGAACTCTGGCCCCTCTACTTACTGGCTGGGTGACTCAGGCAAATGGCTTCTCCTCTCTGAGCCTCAGTTTCCGCATCTGTAAAGTGGAGCTAGTGACTTCCACTCCATTTGTTTGAGGAGGTAATGCGTCTGTAGTAGGTGCTCAATTAAGAACCAGTGCAGGGACGGTTATGCTACTGCGGGCCTGAGCCAATCCCTGTCCCGATTCTCCTGCAGCCCAACCCCTGTCTCAACGGTGGGACTTGCCTGGTCACCTGGAATGACTTCCACTGCACCTGCCCTGCCAACTTCACAGGGCCCACGTGTGCCCAGCAGCTGTGGTGTCCCGGCCAGCCCTGCCTCCCGCCTGCCACCTGTGAGGAGGTCCCTGATGGCTTTGTCTGTGAGTGTGTGCCCCGGGCACCCCCCATGCTGGGGGATGGACACTCAGGCTGGGTTAGACCCCACCCCTAACCTCAGGGCTCACAGTAGACCAGGATGCCAACAGTTCCAGGCCCCTTTAGTTGGCTGACTGCATCCAGCAGGACCAGCTTTCTAGAACAGTGGTTCTCAACCTTCCTAATGCCGCGACCCTTTAATACAGTTCCTCATGTTGTGGTGACCCCCAATTTCATTGTTACAAATTGAACATAATTAAAGCATAGTGATTAATCACAAAACAATAGGTAATTATATATGTGTTTTCCGATAGTCTTAGGCGACCCCTGTGAAAGGGTCGTTCGACCCCCAAAGGGGTCGCGACTCACAAGTTGAGAACCGCTGTTCTGGAAGGAAGAGAGCATTCGCTAGATTTTCAAGGTCAAATAAAACTCTGACATGGCGTAGGGAAGGGCCTAGCAGGGAGGGGAGAGAACATGTGCAAAGGCCCTGAGGGTTAGAAGAACGATTTGAACAGGTACAGGGATGGGATGGCTAGGGTGCCAGAGGCCTTGAAAGTTGGGCGAGGCAGCTCAGGACTTCTTCCCAAGGGCAGTGGGGTGCCACGGGAGGGTTTTAAGTTGGAGAAAGACATGAATAGCATTTTTAAAAGCGGACTGCATTTCACTAAAATGCGTGATCGACATTTTAAAAATCTGCATGAAAAAAAGATGACTCCCTGCAGTGGAGAGTAGGCCTCGGTCATGAGCCCAAGCAACTTCAGGAGGAGGGAAAGGGGAGAGGAAGGGGCGGCAGATTTTTCGAGGAGTTATTGTTGCCTGGTCTGCTCCCTGGATGGTAGGGTGGGCGCAGTCTGGAGGAAGGGAACTGGGAGGGGGTGCAAGTGCAGGTGGGGCCGCAGATTCTGGGGTTAGTGGTAGGTGGCTGTGTGTTGCCTCTCCCCATCCTCCA